TCAATAAAATTTATTGTTGCGTCTCATGTTAACATGCTGCAACAACTCCCCCTTCCAGTAAATTCAATTAATGGCTAACATGAGAAAATATCATCTAAAATTTTTAAACCTATTTAATATAGCCAATACCAACATCAACTCAACTTCTAAAACGAAACGTTCTTCTGAAACGTTAGGGAAAAACGGTGGGACAAGCAGTCATACGTGGTGTAGTGTCTTCGTCCTAATATACTAAACAACTCGCTTCACAATAACAACATGTTTTCAATCGTTTGACCTCTTGAGACCACATGCTCCTACTACTTATCCTGTGATAATAAAAACAGTCAGAATGAACGTACGGGACATTACATCTCCCCCTAAGTTATTACAAAAACAAACAAGTAAATCAATAAAAAGCTCATGAAGGTAACAAACTTGAAATGACCAATAAAGTGTTCAAAAGAAAGTTCAGAGTCTCATTTTCTTCTCTGAATAATTTAAACTATGCGCATACTTAATCTTGCATCCAGGCGGGCGCTTGCCTGGCACGCACAGGGCGTGAAGCAACTGAAGGCAGGGGGCTAGATGGAGCTTCCCCTGTATCTGCTGCTGGTTGACTTGCGCTGGGATTTGGGTCATCCTGGTCGGGCTGCTCTGGCTGCTCAGCTAGGTCTGGCTGCGGATCTATCTCCCCTTTGTCAACAGTTTCAGGATCAATGGTCAGTGCAGATCTCGAATTTAATTCCGTATAGGTACAGGTAAAACCTCTCGCAAGCCCATCTGACAGCTAGAGTTTCTCTTTCCAATTGGGAGTACCTTGCTTCAACTTTGCTGAGCTTTTGGCTAGCATAATATATCGACCTGTAGGTCCCATCTTCTTGTTTTTGCTCCAGGATCGCTCCAACTCCAACAGGAGAGGCATCGATTGTGAGACGTTGTGGCACCTTGTCTGTAGTAGGCCATCACTGGTGCTCTGGTTACCAGGTCTTTGACTTCTTGAAAGACTTTGTTCCCTTTTGTACCCCACTGCCACTTAACAGGTTAGGTCATAATGGACTTGATATGGTTGCAAAGTTTGGAATGAACTTCGCACAAAATTGAACTGACTCCCAAACCAAAATTATAAGTCACGCTCAATAGAAAATAATTTCAACTGATGCTGACATCATACGCTTCATCTGAAGAAGAAAACATTATCTATCTTCGAAAATTTGCTCAAAAAACTGGGAACAAAAACGAAAGTCCAAAGCTTTTTGAAAATACTGCTGCTTAGCATTTGTGTTGCTCGCTTTGCAAATTGTAAGAACATCTTCTCCAGGTTTCAGACCTCGTCAATTCTCCCCCCCCTCCCCCACCCCATTCCCACCCTCCGAACTTAATCGCCTTGAAGAAACTCTTCTCAGCCGGTGCTGAAGAGTTTTTATTACAGCTTTTATTCTATATAACGAAGGGCTGGAAAATAAACTAACAAGAGCTCCGCTTTTTAGCTTGGCTAAATCCATAAATTAGTCGGACCAACGAACTCAGGATAGACAAGATACTTGGTCAATCTTATGAGCACCACCCTGCGAGTAAATTTCGATTACATTGTTCTACTCTGTCCAACATTCGTTTACAACAAGACTTAAGACAATTTAGCAGAAAATGATAAGGACTTCTTTGCCATTACTCCACTCCAAAACCAGATTAATGATTGGCTCAAGATTATTAGTTATGTGTATGATGGAACAAATACACTTATAATTCTCGATGATTGTGCTGCTTCGAGAGATGTGAGGCAGAGGACGAATGAGCTCGTGAATTAAGCATTCAGCACAAGACATTAGGGAATTAGCGTTTGGGCCCTCACAAAACAGATGACAGGTATAGCAAAACCATTTGGAGAGAACACTGCTGCACTTTTTCTCTTCTCACCATCTGCCAAGGATAAGAAGATCTTTTTTCGAGGAAGAGACAAATCTCACAATGGAGCAGTACCAGAAAGCCTATGAAAAGTATCAAGAAAATCGAACAAAGCTTTTCGATTGGATTGCAACTAATGACAGAGTCAAGGAGCAGGAAAAACAGTATTTTGAGGATACAGATTATGCTTTGAAACCCTAAAACAAGCTTTGGCTCTGGGATTGGCTACCAGTCGTTTCTTGTGACCACAAAAGAAAACGGTAAGAAAACTTTCAAGAATCCTTCATGGTCCCAGAGGATTTTGGAAGGGATTGACTGCAGTGAAGAAGTTGGCTAAAGAAGCCAGAGTGTCTGAAGATGATGCAAAGCTTTGGCTGATGAAGCAAGCCATCTGGCAGATTAATTTGCCTTCCCTGAAGCATATCCCAAGACCAACTTTTGATGTGGAATCTCCAAATACAGTTCATTAAGCTAATCTTCTTTTCCTCCCTTATGACAAAGCGACTGTAAGGTCTCGAAAATGCTATAATTATGCATTGACAGTTGTTGATGTTGCAAGCAAATTCAAGTCTGCTGAACCTCCCACCTCAAAAGATTCTTCTGAGCTTCGTGAGAG